AAAAAAAAATAAAAAAAAAAAAAAAAAAAGAAGGGAATTGTGTAATCTCAGGTGTATTTAACCGCAATCAAAATTGTATGAATAATAGGACGAGATAATTAGTATAAATAATAAAGATAGAAACGATAGTGCGATACAGTAAGTATAAATAATAAAGTTGAGTATAAATAACGCAATATGGCGCAATAATTATAGATAATAAACGTTTTGAAAATTTAATAGCGACTTTGTCAAGGATATTTTATCGACGTTACGTGCCCGTGTAATGGGATTGTTACCGTCACAAAAACAACAATATAAATGATGAATTTCGAGTTTCGAAATTGCGGAATTTGTTACCTTTGAAACGACTCGACGATTATGCGACAAATTTCAGCGACGGAACGCGGATGAAAGGGAAGCTTTAACGTGGCGCTGAGCAAAACTGATAACGAGGGTGTTTGGTGGGAGATCGATAAAATGATAATTAAAAAACTTTTATATTCCGGGCAAAATGTTGTAGAACTAACGTTAAAAAAGAAAAAAACATTGCTATCTATCGCCGTGCATCGAATTTTATAATAATATATGTTGCATAAATGCACAATATGCGCGCACAGGACGCGGCCGTAAGGATGGACTAACCGTGGAAAAATGTTCAGAGTCAGAGATCGTGTCGCGCGATTGTAATTTTAATTAAAATTTAAGAACGTGAAAGATTTGAATGTTTTAGAATTTTTAAAATAGAAAAATTTAATAATAGTGGATGAATTAAATTTAATAAAATTTAGGATTTTTAATTATTTTTACGAAAATAATGATAATAACGATGACTATGCATGGAAAAATATTTAAACTTATATAAATTATGCGGTGTAATTGAAATTTTGATTAAAATTCGAACAAAATAAGATTTGCAAATTTATATTTTTACGTGTAATGATACTAGATTTTTTATTACAACTAATATACTATATTATGTATGTAAATTATTAATTTATTCTGCTTTTGTTTCGAATTAAAATATCGCGATAAATATAATTTATACATCTAATAAATAATTTTTAATAATCTTTAGTAACGACCAAAATAAATTATTCGAATCTAAATAAAAAATTCTTGTAAATAAAGAATCATTTATTTACAAACTTCATATCGTATTATATATATATATATTTAAACATTTAATACTTTTACAATAGACATGGATAATGTAGAATATTATATAATGGCATAAATTAATATATATCAGAATACAGCATTGTAAAATAACAATCATAGTTTAAAATTCTTTTACGATAATACGCATATAGGGAACATGGTGTGATATCCTATACAGATTGTTTCAAAAACTTATTATTACTAGAATTGATCGTTCCGAGGTGTACTCGTGTATAATTAAAAAATTTTTCTTGCAGCGAGCTTGCGTTTCACTTCGAAGTGAAACTCTTCCCCGAAAGATCAAAAATACGCAAAATGGTGGATCAACCAGGAGCTGGCTTCGAGGAAGGGCATCGAAGGGGAACAGGCCGAATTCGTAGCGAGCGTACGCCAAGCTACGAACTGTACACACACACATGTACTTTGGAAAATCGGGGGGGCACACAGGTACGGGAAGATAAGCGCGCGCGACGACGCGGCGTGACGCGGCGCGGCGCGTCGCCACTGCTGCAGCGTAACGTAGAAAGTCAGTTGGACGGCGGCGCCGCACCAGTCGTACGCGTAGGGACGCGCCTTTTCGTGGTCCAGCGATCAAATATCGGCCGCTCGTGATTTCGTGCGCCCCTTTAGTGCCTCCCTTCGAACTCGAACTCGAACGTTGGAGGAATTCGATTAATTTTAAATCTCGTAGACGAGAGAAATCGAATGAGATAATTTGAGAAAAAGAGCGGAAGACGAGGAAAGATAAAAGAGGACTTTGAAAGAGAGAGAGAGAGAGAGAGAGAGTGGAGGATCGTCGCGTCTCGATCTTCTCGATCGTGATATCTCTTCTTTATTGTGAGGAGGGAGGATAATCGTAATCGTGATCGAGGACGAATCGAGGATAGAAGGAAGGTTGGGAAAGGGACGGAAGTCGGTGGATCAAGTGCCTTTTTCTTTCTGTTTCGCGGGGATACCGTTGGTCCCGCCCCTCTGGGCGGCTCCTGGCACCCGGAAGTATCCTCGGCCCGAATACTGACGGACCTGTCCTCGCAGTACGAGCTCCCATCGCCGCAACCAGGATGTTTTTGTCCTCGAGAGCTTTCCCGCCGATTCTCTTCGCGGCGCTCTTCCTCTGCATCGGTGAGTGGATTACGTCGTTCGACCCGTAACTCGTGAAATCGGAAGTCGCGTTATCTGAGAAACGAAATTGAGTGAAATTTATGGTGAAATATACGGTTCGGTTAATTTACGTGTGATACATTTTATATTGTATTTTAATTTTTTTTTCTAACAGAGAATTTTTTTTTTTCTTTTCTTCGTCGACAGATATTTCGAAACTTTTATTTGCCTCAATTTCACGACGATAACACGCTTTTTTCTCGAGAATAATCGAGGAGATTTATGGAGAAAGGAATTCGGTGAACTGGATAAATTGCTTTGGAAGTTTTTTAATTCTAGTTAAGTATGATAAAGTGTTATAATTTATCGAAAAATGGGTAGAAATCTCCTTCTCTGTTGAAAAAAAAAAAAGCTTATAAATTACGAATATTTTGTAGCATTCTTATCGACGTATTCGTACATTTATGCATTAGTACAAGTTGAAAAGTTATTTTCTATCTTTTGTATTTATTATTTTATAAAATATCGGATTTTTAAAAAAGGAAGAAAATGCGTTAACATTATAATTTTCAATATTATTCTCTTCAAATTTTAAGGAGCATTTCAACGATAGAAAAATCATGAACATTCATTAATAATTGAAAATGAATGGAAGAAGTTATATAAGATTAAATAATGAAACTTATATTCTACGTTTAAAAACTTGATTTAAAATGATCTTCGGAGACAACAGATTTTCCGATAATGCACTTTTGAAGATTCATTTTATTGTATGAAGTTGTATATAGTTTTACTTGTACTGAAATAATAAACGTAAAAATACGTGAGCAAAAATGTTAATATTTGTAATTTCTTTTTTTTTCAATTTCATATCAAAATTGAGCTTTCTTTATAGAAGAAAGAAATCTCTAAAATCTTCTTCTTCTCGACATCAAATCGTCGTATATATATAAAATACGTATATTATATCATATAGTATTTTAACATATTCAAAATACATTCAAATTTCCAATTTATCCAATTCACCGATCTTTGTTTCGTCCACACAATTTGTTTGCAATATAATAAATAAAATATAACGTTGGACGAGTATTTTATGTTGCACGTGAATCAAGTGAAAGAATCATCATGTACTGTGCGCGTATATTCCGCGCGAAAGAGGGTTAATTCTGTAAGTACAGTGTGAAAGTTTTGCTACAAGTATCTTTCATTTCAGATCGATAATTTACAAATTTTAATTTGAAAATAAATATTTTATATTTTTCATATGCGCAGGGAAAGTATTTAAACATTATCTTACAACTTTTAATGAAAATTTATAGGGTATGTACAGTTTATACACGGAATAATTTTTGCCGATGAAAAATTTCTTTGAAAAGATGAAATCAACTTTCAAAGTTTCAGCACCCTTTCATGTTTTAAATACAATTTTGTGTGGCGATTTTTTTTTTTTTTTACGACAGAGCGATGGAAATTCCGTAATCTAAAATTTTGCTCTATTTCTATTCGCTGTTACAAAATTATGTTTAAAAAAACGAAAAACGTACTGAAACGAACTTCGATTTCACCTCTCTTAAAGTGATATTTTCGGTGTGAGGAAAAATTTACTTCGTATACAATCCATCATTCTATACATTCGTAAATTTATTCATTAAGATTTCATTCAAAAAATAAAAATACTTCCACGAATGTTTCATGACAGTTACGTATATAAATACACGTTTCTTCCATTTAATCCCAACGTATAATAATCGAAAATTAAGAAAATTGTTACATGTATCTGTTGATAGAGTGTAAAATATAAAAAGGAAAAATTTATTGTTAAATATCAAATGTGATATTCGAAGAACTTCTCGGCAATAATTTGATATCAGGGCTGTTCGAAATAATTAGAGGATCGAGGAGAATGACCAATATTTTGATACCCACTTCCGACATGGAAAGTAAATAATGGTTGGGAACCGCGTGCGTTAAATATGCACTCCTTTCATCCCCCCTGTTTGCTTGTCTTTCGAAATCTTGCGGAATCTCGTTAATTATTTCAACTAACGTCATTATCATTATCATCAAGCCTCTGCTTAAAACTGTACTTAAGGTTTTACGGAAAAAGAAAAAATTGTCATCTTGAATATTCGCGAAACCGTGGAGATGGAACGAAGATTCTTCTCGAATGAAAATAAATTCGTAAGTAAATCCACTTGCAAATAAAATTGGTAGAAATTGTACCACGTATCTTTTTACTTATGGAATAAGTTTCATTCGAGAACCTCTTAATCAGAGGTTTCAGAGGTTTCGATATATTCAAGATGGTGATCCTTGTTAGATGAGTTTTTGTTTAAATTTTCGTTCGATCATTTTAGAAAAGCTTAATGGAAAAATGTTATAGGATAGGAGAAAGTAAGAGAGGTTTGATATTTTTATACAAATTGTAAGAAGCCAAAGAAAAATTCTCGAAAAGTTTTCCTCTTTCATTTTTGTATATTCGTTTTAATAATAATATTAAAAAATTAAGTATTTTTTGGTTGGTTAAGATATATATATTCTCAAATTTCTTTGTTCAAATTTCCAGAGTTCAAATTTTCAACATTTTTAATTCTCAAATTTTCAATTTTTTCAGCTTTCGAACTTAATTTATCCGTGAAAAGAGGATACTTTAGACAAAGATTATTCTATATTCTATATTCTATATTGTTGCAGGCAAACATTTTTGAACATATGCCAAATAATTTAAAATAAATTTTCTTGCAATAATGTTTTCTTGCAAAAATTGTTACAGAGGTGGTTACATTTGAAACTAGAGGAGAGGAGAAATTTTACATCTGACATAAAAGAGCAAAAATCAAATCCTCTTCTAGCTTTTTTCATTTCTAAAAAGTCAATAATAAAAATTTCGAAACTATATTTAAAGATTCAATTCATATAATCTCATTTATTTACGATAATTTAATCCATAACTCATCAAACATCACCCAATCAAGAACGTGATATATTTCTCTTCATCCCGATTGAATTTTTAAAATCCATCATGTTCCATTATTTATTTTTAGATTTAATTATAGAGTCGATTGTATTCGAAACTAAACAAAATTGCCTTCTATTTTTTATGTAGATTTTAATTTTAATACATACAAATTCTTCACACATTGTTTTATAAAAAAATTCATCAAATTTGAAAATTCTAATTCTAATTAGAAACAAATATTTAAATTAAAACTATATATATATACAATATAAACGATTGTAAAATTGATCGTAAGATTTAATCATACAGTTCGAAAGAAAAAAATAATTGTCTTAATTATAATTTTATTAATATTAGAAAACGAAAATGATTCTTGTCCATATTTCATATGGATAATTATAATACCAATTTCGTAGGCACGAGTCACAATAATCGCTCTCCCCCAAAAATTAATATTCAACGTTATTCGAAAATTCAAATATTCAATATCAATTCACCTATTCGCGCTAATTTAATCCATCATTCGTCAAACATCATCCGGTTATGTATCGACCGTCGATAACGCAATATATTCCTCCCTATCCTTTATTAACTTTTCGAAATCCATCACACTCCATTAATTATTTCCATCGTTCTATCGCCGTCATTAAACGGCTCGATTATCCACTTTCCACGAAATCTGGTCAATCCATTCCTCTCGCATTTTTCTCTCAACCATGTTCTTCTTTCTCGATCGAGAATCGACCGATTCGATGCGATCGCGCTTGTTACCTACCGTGCAGGATAATTCGTCACGAGAGATGGTTCCAGGTGTCGCGACGAAACGCGTCGCATCTCGTTTCCTAATGAATGGCATTATTATTCCGTGGCGAAGTTTACGCTTTAATCGAGTTGGCCGCGCGGCGACTGAATAGGGGCGGGGTCTAACCGAATTTTCGGCTGTCCCACATTGCAAAATAGTGGCGGGGGGTGATCGGCGGGGGAGGGGTGAACCAGGAAGGAATTAGGCGAACGATCGAGCCTGGTATCTCGTCGAACAGACGTTTCTGGGTTGTGCAGGGTGGGAAAAAAGAAGAGGGGGTGAAAGTGAGTTACGTGTTTACTTTGCGAGATGAAAATTGAAATGGCACATTTTTGCGGTTTTTTTTTTTTTTTGTAAATGGAAAAGTTGAAGTTTTGTGAAAATATCAATATAACTGCTAACTAGGTTATTTAACTTGTTTCGATTACGCGTAGAATTTGCGTCGAATGAAATAATTCATTCAGTTTTACTTAATAACATCTTTATTTCTTTTTTTGCGAATATTAATAGCATTTCTTTAAAAAAAATATAGTCGAAAGTATCGACAAAATCATCTTTAGTGATTTGAATGAAATAGTTTCTATAGTTATAAGATTTAGTCAGAACAATATCATGATTACTTACATACTCTTATAGCAATTAAACTATTCAAAGTTTTTTTCTAAAAATTGTTCCTACGATTTGTATTTCGATCTATTAACCACTATAATTATTAATATTATTAATAAATTATTCGTTTCTAACAACTAAAATATTATGCTTTAGACAATTTATTCTAAAGTATGATTCTTTGAACGAAATGATCTTCACGCAAAAAATAATCAATCTTCGATTTTAAATCATTTCTTCCATTCCATACGCGCATTTATCTATTAAATTTATCTTATAAAATTTTCTTCACATTAGTTTAAACAAATCGTTTAGAGTCGAATAAAATATTTGATGTTAAAAAATTTAATAATTATGTTGACACAATTTAAGGGAGCGATTTTCATAGTGGTATCGTTAAATTTGTGAAGAGAGATTATATTATATATGGTGTTGGTTCGAGATGTTGCTATGATGAAACACCACTTTTGGTACTTTATGTTCGAGCATAAGAGTAAAGGTTCCTCGTTGATTGTTGTTGCGGTTATTAACAATAGTTACAACCTCTCTTAAGAGGGTTATAACTCTGTGACTATTAAGAGGGTAGAATTTGATAACTACAAGGATAGAATTTGTTATTTAGTAATGGATTTTCATTCTAGTAAATTA